TTGGCAAATAATCCAATGCACACATTTACGTGATTAAAAGTGGTTGTCCTGTTCTTCATGACATTCCGTTTAACATGCGATTTGGGGTATTAGCATTTAAGAAGCAATTACCTTTAGGGAATGGTCAGTAAAGCGTTGAGTAGAGTCAAAAGGTGAAATCAAAATGGTTAAATGGGAGCCGACAGTGGCGCACCCAGAGATTGAGGTTGAGGTTGAGGTTGATGATGCTAATGAGGATTGAGGAAGACGACTAGACCTAGTAAAGCATGCTAAAGCCTCCTAGGCGTCAAAGGGAGGGATCCACCACGGCTCGCGATTTTAATCATTTTATATTGAATTCTGATGACCACCAAACTGGGCAGAAAGACGATGATGGCGAGAGAGAGAGAAGCCCCGTCTCTAAGTTATGTTACGTGTTATGTCAGAATCATTTCCATTTCCAACCAAAAAGAAGAAGAAGAAGGAGTGGGATTATATAGTTGTGTCGAGTCTGTACCGGCCAGCACCCGCCAGGCCGCATGTGAATCCTGCATTTTGCACATTGCCTACTGTCCCGTCCTTCCCTTGCTTTGCCTTCCCAGGCAACCAATTACAGTTCGCAACAACCCGGAGGATTTGGATTTTGTTTATTGAACAAAACATGATTCTGTTCTTCCCAGCGATTATTATAATTTGGATTAAGACCATAATGGCGAGGCCTGCACTCTATTGCACAAGCTCCAATCAACAGAGACCTCAACAACCCCATATCCGCTATGTGGAGCTTGTTTTCTCCCCATGATTTTCGCTCCTGTCCCTTTCTGTTATTACTTTATTATTTGCCCCCACCCCTCATTTCCCTAATCCTCAAACCTTGTATTATCATTTTTTATTCGAACAAATTTAGCTGAGTTGATCAGAAATCACAATAGACCTTACAATTATTTTTAATAAAAAAAGTGATTATACATCAATAGATTATTCAACACTAGGGTTCTTACACCCATAGAGGTACTATTATTTTTTTAAGACTACTATTTAATATGTTTACCTATTGTAATCGCCGAACCATTTTGACATTTTTTTTTTTAAATTTATATAGTTAGAAGAGTTGGGAGTTGTGTGGTCTACATTAAAAAAAAATTGGGTGTGGGCCATAATAAAAAATGAATGTACAAATTTTTTCACTTGGCCTAAAATTAAAGTATTAGGTATATTTTATATATTTTTTAATTATACATTTATTTTACACTCTCTTTTGTTTCTATTACAGGCGGTGTTTAGAAAAATTTGTTCATACTTAATATAAGGCACTTGATGGGATATTAATTATATTTTTATAATAATATTCTTGTTTAAACTCATTAATTATGAGAGAAGATATAATGTAAATTTGAAAAAAATTTATTTAAAATTTTATAACACTATTTATCTATTTTTTTAATTGAAATCATTAAAATATCTCCACCATTCTATTCTTATTCATTTCCCTAAAATCAAGGATAAAAACTTAACGTCCAGTGCACGAGTGTAATATTCAGTTATCGATTAATTTAAATACGAATTCCATTGTAGTTTACATAGGAGAAGCTCTTCCAATGCATTTATATTATTTTTGTTGGATATACCAAGCATAGTATAAAGGATATATGATATTATTTTAATCAATTGAGTTTAAGTTTCGGGATCCCTGTCATTGCAGATAAAGCTTCTAAATCGTTTTATAAAGATTCAATGTCACGTGATATTAATTAAGAAACTTGAACGAAGAAGAAAACCCCAGCTTATAGGACAACCATTTGGATTGGATTTTATGGGTGAAAATGCTGCGGGTTAAGGTGTTCACACTTCATATGTCCACTGCATAGAATCATGCGCGGGATTATTACATTAGTCATTTCAACGCTTCTGGTCTCCTTAGTCCTCAGACATAATTACCATTACCACAACGTTACAATATCTAGAGTATTTTTTTTCTCTTTATCCAGAGTAATTGTTATTTCCTTTTTCTTTTGTCTTTTTATTTGATCTTTCTCAATCTAAAATATAAATCCAGTTTGATAACTTCTAGAGTGTTTAATTTTTGGTTAAATTATACATTACTCTTTTAAATTTTGAATCATATATACATAACCTCATTAACTTTTGAAATTTATAATGAACCCCGCTCAACTCTTATATTTATGTTGATAATTCTATGTGATTAATTTTATATATTAATTATCTACACATAATTTAAAATTTAGTAGTATTATCGGTATATCAATCAAAATTTGGGAGCTTAAATGCACACAAAAATAAAATTTAAGAGAATATAATTAATGATGCATTAACCTAAAAGCTCAAGGATATTTATTATTAAGTTTTAAAAGTTAAGAAAGTTATTTATACATGATTTAAAATTTAGGAAAAACTGTGTGTAATTTAACCTTTATTTTTTTTAGTTTTCCTGTTTCTTTTAATTTTTTATTAAAAAATATAAATCCAGTTTGATAAATTGCATTTAATTTTTTATTTTACCCTCTTACATCGTACAATTAAATATCATGAGTAATTGATATAGTTTATGACTTTTAATAAGGCAATTTGGGAGAACATTATAAATTTTTTTTTTTAATCTTCAACGAGTCAACTTCTGTTTAACTATCTTCGTTGATCGCTGTGCAAGTAAATAAACCAGATCTATATTGTGAATATGAGGAGTCATTGACTAAGTTTATGTTAACATTTGGCAAATAATTTAACCTACCATTTAAAAAAAAAAATTTACCTAGGAATTGTATGCCTGCTTATATTTTTGATAAAGGCTAAAAGTAAACATCATAATGGCAATAGAACAAATAAAGAAAAAAATCATCGAACATTTAATGGGGAAAATTGAAACAAACAAGGAACACAATCAAAAGATATAACAAAGAGAAGAGGAGCATTTTGTCAGAGAGTCACATTTGTTTAGTTCTTTCTCATGAAATTAACAGTCAGGCAAGCCGGATCTCTCATTTCTTTCAATTTTAGATTCCTCTGTTACTTCTACCATCACCTCATCATGTGACTTTTAGCCGTTAGGTACATGAATACTCACTCCGCCTCTGCAAAGCCATCCAAATAATCTCTCTCTCTCTCTCTCTCTATATATATATATATATATATATATATGGGTTAGCCAGGCCTGTGACCAGAACACAATGGATGTTATTGGTGGGATCTTTGTGTTTTGGTTAGTGATGAGTGGTGTGAAGTCTGAAGAAGTGAATTCTGTGCCTTCTTGTGATTTCCCAGCGATCTTCAACTTTGGTGATTCCAATTCAGATACAGGCTGCATGGCTGCTGCTTTCTTCCCTATGGCTTCACCTTGTGGTGAGACCTTCTTCCATGAGCCCGCTGGTCGAGCTTCTGATGGTCGCCTTATCATTGACTTCATCGGTATCACTAATCTTAGCTCTTTCTCTACTATTCTGTGTTTCTTTGTAAATCGACATCTTTCACAGATACAAATCAATCATATATTTAGTAATTAGTATAGTATATAACGTGATCACAATCTTTTGCGTCAGTTTGGCTTCTTTACTTCATTTGTAACTTGTCTCAGATGAGAGTTCAGGTGAGAGTTCTTTTATTATATTTGAATGCAGCAAAGCAGCTTGGTTTTCCTTTGTTGAGTGCTTATATTGATTCAATTGGAACAAGCTATGGGCACGGGGCGAATTTTGCAGCAGGATCATCAACTATTAGGAGGCAAAATAGAACCTTCTTTGATGGAGGCACTCCATTCACTCTTGAGATTCAGACTGCACAATTTAACCAGTTCAAGGCACGCACTGCCAAGTTCTTCAATCAAGCTGGTTGGTTCTGATATAATACCTATGTAACACCTTTCATTCTCTCTCTCTTTTCTTCTTCTTCTTCTTTTAATTTTTGGATTCTGCTAAAACTGAGTCTGTCTGTGATTTGCAGGAGACAATCATTCCTGCAGAAGGCAATTCCCAGGCCAGAGGACTTTCCGAAGGCTATCTACACCATGGATATCGGCCAAAATGATATTGCTGCTGCTATTAACAGAGTGGGCAAAGAGGATTCTCATGATGTAATCTCGGATATTGTGCAGCATTTTGCTACTCAAGTTCAGGTAAGTTATTCATATAAGAGGAGTTAACCCACTTCTCATTTTGTGATTTTTTAATATCACTTTACAAGTTAAAAGATTTAATATTTGTTGCAACCTGAACTTGAAACCAAAACAAAATTTTCCACTAAGGCGGTAAAAAAAATACTTGAAAAAAGCTTTGCTGAGAGAATTTAGTACCCTTATTCAGAATTTGTACAAAGAAGGAGCAAGGACATTCTGGATACACAACACTGGCCCAATTGGATGCTTGGCAGTGACCATGCACAACACTCACAACCCAGTGGCTGGTTACGTTGATCAAAACGGCTGTGTGAATTACCAAAACGACATGGCCAAAGAATTCAACGAAAAACTCAAGAATACGGTAGTCACTCTAAGATCACAACTCCCTGCCGCCTCATTAACATACGTAGACCTCTTCTCTGCCAAGTACCAGCTAATCAGCAATGCAAAGAAGGAAGGTAATTACTAATTAATTGTCACTGCTATCACAAATTTGAAGAAACCACCGTGCATTTCAACTTTACTCACTCTTGACATTGCAGGCTTTGTAGATCCATCTAAGATCTGTTGTGGGTATCACGAAGACGCGAATGATATATGGTGTGGAAACAAAGGAATAGTAAATGGCACTGAAATATTTGCTGGTTCTTGTGAAGATCCTTCCTCATATATCAGCTGGGATGGAGTACATTACACTGAAGCAGCCAATCGCTGGATTGCTGATCGTATACTCAATGGTTCTTTCTCAGATCCACCAATAGCGATCACGCACTCGTGTCATGAACTTGGGTCCCCATGATTTTGACCCTTTTGTTCTTCCTCATCATATGATTACAATATTACATACATAACAAAGTGCCTTACTTAATAGTTAATATAATTAAAGCACACGATGGAAGAGGTGTGCATGGTCAGGGTGATTCGTAAAACAGGGCAATCCCCTGCATCTTTAACGAAAGAAAAGCTATATTTTACAAGTTCTACTGTATTATGATTGTGATAAAGAAGTGTTTACCGGTCGTAAAATAACTTCTCTATTTTTGGGTCAATCAAGCTTTACATGAAACTGGCAGAAAAAATGAATCAAGGCTTGAGCTCAATGACAAATAAACGCGCGCGCAAAAAATTTTGGACTTTTGTATCATCTCGTACTTCAACTTCACTAAAGAACTTATCTTTTTCATGTTTCTGAAACTTTTACCCTTAAAATTTTCAATTCTTGTCTTGTGGGATCAAAATCCAAAGCTTGAAATTTTTGTATATGAGCACCAGTGCAAGTGCGTAATTGCCAGTATGGGTCATTGTTATTTGACCATCGATTTAATAAGGTCGAGGCAAGTTGATAACGTCTAATATTACCAGCATTTTTCCTGACCGTTAATAATAACTTCTAATTACATTTCAGCAATTAACTCCCAGAGATATTCAGCAAGTGTTAGGTGTTGATGATTATCTCATTATTTCTGGTATCTTAAAATAAAAAATTACACAGGAAAATTTTACATCAATTTTTTTTAAGCTTTTCCATTTACAACAGAAAGGGTTGGTGTCACTCCTGTAGAAATGAAAATGTAGGTTGCACATCCCTAGAAGATTGACTCTACTGGCTGTGTCTCACCCACTGATTACGCAAAACGGCAAAAGCTCTCTTTTTTGTTTTTTCAATTCAACAATTTTGAACCTTGTCCAGCTCTCGAGCATACACCGACACAATATAAGATGGTCCACTTCAATTATATTTATATGCTCCGTCACAGTATCATCCAGGCTAGCCGACTTGTGTCCAAGTCCTTGCAAACACTGACGTGTGTTCGATCTATGCATTGACCCCATGCCCTAATCATACGATATATTTTATCCTCTCAATTCCCCACATTAACCTCATTATGTTACTCCAAAAACCCACTGTTTTGCCACTTATTTTAGGCCACTGTCACAGACACGGGGCATCAATGAAGCTCTAAATTTACCGCTCAAGAGTGCCAATTAGCAAACGTACAAAAGCCTAGAACGAATGAAATCACGTGGGTCTTGCTCCAAGACAAATATCTAGAGATTGTGCCCATGAGCCAAGTTTATCCCTCTCTTCTGGTTCTGTCTGAGGGTGCTTCTGGGTCTCTATAAATAGGTGAGCTCACTTGTCAATCCAGCATGAGATACGCTAACCCAGGCTTGAAAATGGGGTTAGGGAAACATTTTGTCTGCGGGTTCTTGCTATTCTGGTTTCTATGTGTGAGTGGGTGTAGAGCTGAAAGGCCCACTCTTCTGTGCATTCCCGGCAATTTACAACTTCGGAGACTCCAATTCAGACACTGGAGGCATATCAGCTGCATTTGTGCCCATCTCTGGGCCTTATGGCGAGGGCTTCTTCCATAAGCCTTCAGGAAGAGACAGCGATGGCCGCCTCATCATAGATTTCATAGGTAACGAGCACGCAAATGATTTTTTTTTTTTTTTTTGCTTTTTCTACTGGTCGGCAAGTGTGAGGGAACTTTTAACTGTAGTAATTTTCTGGGCAGCTGAGAAGCTGAAATTGCCTTACTTGAGTGCTTATCTGAATTCACTTGGGACCAATTACCGGCACGGTGCAAATTTTGCGACTGGAGGATCCACCATCAGAAGGCAAAACGAGACCATTTTTGAGTATGGGATAAGCCCATTCTCGCTTGACATCCAGATCGTCCAATTTGATCAGTTTAAAGCACGCACCATTGAGCTCTACAAACAAGGTGAGCTATACTTCTATAAAATTTGAAGAAACTACCATACTACTCGATGTTATTGTCATCATTGCATATATAGTGCTTGTTTCTTGAAATTTAGCTAAGAACCCATTCGAAAGAAGCAAGCTTCCGGTACCAGAGGAGTTCTCCAAGGCTCTCTACACATTCGATATTGGTCAAAATGATCTCTCTGTTGGCTTCAGAAAGATGAGCTTCGACCAGCTACGTGCAGCTATGCCAGATATCATCAACCAGCTAGCCTCTGCAGTGCGAGTAAGTAGATAAACTTTCAGATTCCTGAGAATTTAGGAAAACTTAAAATTAACATGATTGAATTGAAATGGGACTGAGGTTGAATAATTGATTTGAAGCATCTATACCAACAAGGGGGGAGGGCATTTTGGATACACAACACAGGACCAATTGGGTGTTTGCCAGTGAACCTGTTTTACAAGCATAATTTACCAGCAGGTTATCTTGACCAGTATGGGTGCGTGAAGGATCAGAATGAGATGGCTGTAGAGTTCAACAAGCAGCTTAAGAACAGAGTGATCAATCTCAGGGCAGAGCTCCCACAGGCTTCAATTACGTATGTGGATGTCTATGCTGCAAAATATGGACTCATCAGCAAAGCCAAGAATGAAGGTAATATCTGTCTATTCGTTATTGGCATCATTTTTCATACTAGGTTCTTGTTAGACAAACATATAATGGTAACAAGATATACATAAGCTGAGGGTATCAATGGTTTGTTTGGTTATGTGTTTTCAGGATTTGCTGATCCACTGAAGATCTGCTGTGGATATCACGTGAATGACACTCATATATGGTGTGGGACGAAAGCAATGGTAAATGGAAAAGCCGTGTATGGTGCTTCTTGCGAGAATCCCTTGAAATATGTAAGCTGGGACGGTGTGCATTACGCTGAGGCTGCTAATCATTGGGTTGCTGATCGGATACTCAATGGTTCTTTGTCAGACCCACCAATTTCAATTACTCGAGCATGTTACAGGCACTAAAAGGTAGGTCCTGCCACAAATTCTAGCTACAAATTAACTTATCGAGCATTCCCAAAGGAAGTGATGTGGCAAATTGCAAGCATAAATGGAGCTTATTTCTGTGTTAGATCAGGAATGCGCTGCGCACATATCTAATTACCAGTGTTGTTGAGAAATATGTGCTTGCAAAATGAAACTGCATTATTCAACGTTCTTGCCTCTTTTAGCAAGTGAGCTTTTTTGTGTCTTGGCATGACATGCATATTGGAAAAGAAAAAGCTCGTCTAAACAACACGTTCTTGCATCCTGAGCATCGAATTTTGCTTCCAAGAAAGCCCAGATAGGATCTAAAGCTTTATCTGCACTAAAATCTTGTGAGGAAAGATCAGAGCCACATTACCGTTGCCGTTGAAGTAGTCACCTGTCTTTGTCCAATCAATGTGAAATTGAACTACGTCCGTCAGATGGTCAAAGTCCACGTGCAAGAAAACCACCATTCGCGTACAAAATTCAACTTGGAAATACATTTTCTTCATTGAAGAAACCGAAGGTGAAAACTTTTCATTGATCATCCATCCACTCCATCCTGAAGTTTGGAACCAGAGTTACGACCTGCGAATCTAAAACATGTCCAACGACATATCTAGAATCCAACTCTTGTCACTAGCCTTTACTCTCACATCAAGGCATAATGTAAAGTGCAAACAACGCGTAGCCTACTAGGCTATTGCACACCTTGCCATGAAAAAAAGAAGGAAGAATAATAGAAAGGTCTTAAAAAAATTAATTAATTTAAATTAAATTTTAAATGTTAAATTTAAAAAATTTGCAATTCAATCTTTCTCTTAAAATTTTGTTATGATAAATTTATTACTTGTATTTTAAAATTTAATTAAAAAATAATTTTTTAAATTTTTTAACCAAGTTAAAATTTAAAAAATAAGTTATAAATTTATCTTATATAGTTACAACATTGAAAGACAGATTTTATAAATTTTTAAAATTTAACACTTAAAATTTATCTTAAATTAATTAGCCTTTACCTCTTTGTCATTCTCCCACCCCATGATAAGACAATTTTAGGTATTCATCTCTATTACGCCCCATCATATGAAGAGTTGGAAAATGAACTCAACTTTTTAGCTGTTCGAGCCTATCAAACAGCCTATGCTTGTGATTAAGAACCCCCACATCTGATGTGGGAAGCTAGGTTGCAGGTCTGGCTAAACAACTCTTTGAGCAAACAGAGAATTGCACATAAATACTTGTTACAGTTCTTTGAATTTAACAAAGTATCTCAACGAAGATATACTAATCAAATGTAGTGCTGATTGTTCTCACACTAAAGGATATCAACTCCAACCACGTAGCCAGAATTGAAGTTTTCCATAATATTTACTAGCACATAAACTGAAACTAGTACTTGCAAGTTGCATCAGAACCTAAAACCTTGCAACGCAAAAGCTACACAAATGAGCGTAATGAACGTTTGAAAAGGTTTGACCAATTAAAATTTCCAGGACAATGGCTAAAGAAATGGCCACATAGATATAGAAAACGGCAAAGCTTGTCTGAAATTGATGTTGATATATATAAACGTCATAAAAGTGAGCATGAGGTGTTAGGATAATCGGATGCCATCCAGTTCCCATTTACTTCTTAGATGTAATTGTGTCAGGCCATTACTCCAGAAGATAATTGAATTTTTATTGGAGTGGGAAATACATATATGTCTTGGACTGGCCTTGTCATTTAAGTTCTTGAATCAGCTATTAGGCTAAGAACCTGCCATCGATAGTATGAGGACATTTAACCTGGAGATAAAGCATGCAATCCAATCCAATTTCACCATATTAGGTGGTTCTTCACATTAGAAGTCAATCAAAACCCTTACGTATCTTCTCAGTATATTTATCATCTTATTGATTATCCTGCAACCCTTTGAAACTGCCTAGAGCTAAATGTTACTTCACAAAAAATTAGAATGCATGCCTGAAATAACATTCCAGGTACCCAGCAAAATGTTACAACAAAGCAGAACAATCTATATTACCACAGAAACATCATTAAGACAATAACACAGTAAAATTGCAGAAATCATACTAACCGAATCACATCAAAATAAATTAATTTCACTGACCAAAAATTCACAAATTTCACTGACCAAAAATTCACAACAAAGTTATTCAACGATGGATTGGATGACACCAGCTCCGACAGTCTTCCCACCTTCTCTGATAGCAAATCTCATTCCCTGTTCACAAGCTACTGGAAAAATAAGCTCCACGACCATCTTCACACGGTCCCCAGGCATAACCATCTTAGATTCTTCGTCCTTATCATTCATGATCTTAGAAACCTTCCCAGTGACATCAGTAGTTCTCATGTAGAATTGCGGCCTGTATCCAGCAAAGAATGGCGAATGCCTCCCTCCCTCCTCCTTTTTCAACACATAAACAATAGCAGTGAACTTTGAATGTGGTGTAATGGTGCGGGGTTTGGCAATAACCATTCCTCTTTGAATGTCTGTTTTTTGAATACCCCTAAGCAAAAGCCCCACATTATCACCTGCAAGCGCTTCATCAAGTATTTTCTGAAACATCTCAACCCCAGTAACTGTTGTAGTCCGGGTGTCCTTGAGACCCACTATATCCACAGAGTCCCCAACCTTAACTGTACCCCTCTCAACGCGCCCTGTCGCCACAGTACCCCGACCAGTAATCGAAAACACGTCTTCAATTGCCATGAGGAAAGGTAAATCAGTTTGTCGCTGAGGAATTGGTATGTAGCCATCAACAGCATCCATCAACTCATAAATTTATCCACCCACTGATTCTCCCCTCTTTTAATTTTTGGGTTCGCCATCAGTGCCTCCAAAGCCAACAACGCCGAACCAGAAACTATAGGTACATCATCACCAGGGAATTCATAGATGCTCAAAAGCTCTCGGACTTCCAACTCCACCAGTTGAAGAAGCTCATCATCATCAACCTGATCCTGCTTGTTCAAGAAAACTACCAAATTAGGCACGCCCACTTGTTTCGCCAGCAAAATGTGCTCTTTGGTCTGAGGCATTGGCCCATCGGCACCCGATACAACCAAAATAGCACCATCCATTTGCGCCGCACCGGTGATCATATTCTTTACATAATCAGCATGTCCGGGACAATCTACATGGGCATAGTGCCTGCTCTCAGTTTCGTATTCCACGGTAGCAGTATTGATCGTGATCCCTCGGGCTCTTTCCTCCGGTGCTGCATCGATTTCATCGTATTTCTTGGCGCGCTATTTCCCATAGAGGCCAAAGCCATGGTAAGAGCAGCCGTCAGAGTAGTCTTTCCATGGTCAACGTGACCAATTGTGCCTATATTAACGTGTGGTTTCTTTTCTCTCGAATTTCCCTCTGGCTGCTCGGACGACAAGGGACTGCCGGCGGGAGGAGGACACTCCGAATGCGGGAGAGAGAGAAAAGGGAGGGACACGAAGGGGGAAGATTCAACAACCGCGAAAGAGGACGGCAAGACCGCAGAGTTGAGCTTGGAAGGTAGGGTTTTGGGAGTTGGGGAGGGATTGGGGAGGAAGAATTGCGTAGAGGCGGAGAGTGATGAAGAGGGCAATGAAGGTCTGAGAAGGAGGTTTGAAGGAGAAGAGGAAGATGATGATCCAACAAGGGAGGCCATGGAAACGGGACGGACCGGGAGAGCGAGGGAGGGAGGGAGAGTGAAAGTGCGAAGTGTAGAGCGCAGACAAAGAAATGAAGGAACAAACCAAGAGAGAAGAATTGGAAAGGGGCTTGGGATCTCCTGGGGCCCTAGCTTTTGGTGCTGCTCTGACTGTCGTTGTCGCTGAGCTATACATGAAGCGGAGCCGCTTTTTTTTTCGTTTCGAAAACATTATCAAAGCATCACACCGTATTTATGTATTTTTTCATAATTCATAATTCATAATTTATAAATAGTATATTTTTAAAAAAAAATTTATATTACATATTAAAATGCTGATTGATTATGCTTAGACATTTTTTTTATATTTCTGTTCCTTAAATTTTTAATTATAGATAATCGTATGCATTCCCCCTTTTTTAATAATTTGAATTTTAATTATGAAATAATCAACTTGTGCCATTTATAATTAAGATGGAGGCTCTAAGGGCATACCTTCTCATAATGTGATATTTTAAACATCGCCAATCAAACTTAATCCTTTGATAAGATTTGATTCATGATTCAATAAAACAAATCTTACTATCAGAATGAGAATCTAGTTGGTAAACTATACATAAGTCTTGAAGAAAAATTTGCACCAAAGTGAATTGAAGTACTTGAATCACACAAGATGCGTTGTCTGCAAATATTCTAACAATTTTCCAAACATTAAAAAAAAAAAGTTCAATGCTGCAAACTTCACTCTTCCCACTTTAATGGGAATCAGACGGGCACATGGTTCAACAGAAGACAAGTTTCTTCTGCTCCACCCTATATTATTTGATTTATTGTGCAATACTGCCTCATCACATTCTGTCGGATATCAGAGTTGGGGACCTTCAATTTTCTTTACTTCGTCCGAAAACTAGTGTGGGTATTTATATCTTCACCCAAAACAAAAGCCCAGCTGCGTGACAAAGTTGTACATTTTTTCAAGGCATAGCAAATACTATCCTTTTTGCATGAACCTGCATTGTGGGAGTGAGCACGACCCTCATCTCACAATCGAAAACGACATAAATTCTTACCCAAAGGGGAAAAAAATGACATCAGTAACCCAAACTAAAATGCAAATGTGGGGTTCCTTGAAGCGCCGGGCTGTCGATGTCCCTGGCCCTGCACTATGCATCCAAGATAAATTGTCACTTCGCATATATGCTTTAAAAATACTCAAGTATAGGATTCATAGAGTTAAATCAGGATCAATTGTAAAATAGTGATCTTACAGCTACTCTGATACATTAAAAAGGTATTTTTCCTTGTACACAAAACAACATATATATTTCATCTCAGCATCGAAACCATTGTTCCCTTTCACACATGTACGTGTGTAATGATCCCTTATTTCCGGCTATCGGGCACTTCATGCGTAAAATTTGCTCCCTGTAGCCCTGGACGCAGGGAACAACTTTAGTTCCGAGGAACTCTACACGTGGGAGAATCTATCATATAAATCCGCATCCAGCTCTTAAAGCAATATATTGGCCACATCCTTTTCTATACATAGCTACGGGTATCTTGTTTCACTGGCGATGTCCCTG